ACTGTTATTAGTATTTAACGGCGTTTTAAAAACGCTGCATATTCTATTAAACAAAACGACACCGTTTTATAATGGGAGGCGTTTAAAAACGCCTCCGAATGTGGTGACCCACACGCGCCCCTTTCTGTGAAAACCTTATTTTGAATCAGAGCCTACAATACATGCGCACAGGTCTCTCTCTCTCACCCCTCTCCATCGAAGCTTAAATCAAAGAAGATTCACTACACCCGTGATTTCACTCTCTCTTGCTTCAAACCCTTTCGTTTCTCTCGATTCGCAGATCAGTCTTATCTCTATCTCTAGTTCATGTTCGAGTTCGCAGGTCTTTCTTCATGGTAAGTGTTGATCAGTCTTATCTCTATCTCTAGTTCATGTTCGAGTTCGCAGGTCTTTCTTCATGGTAAGTGTTGATCAGTCTTATCTCTATCTCTAGTTCATGTTCGAGTTCGCAGGTCTTTCTTCATGGTAAGTGTTGATCAGTCTTATCTCTATCTCTAGTTCATGTTCGAGTTCGCAGGTCTTTCTTCATGGTAAGTGTTGATCAGTCTTATCTCTATCTCTAGTTCATGTTCGAGTTCGCAGGTCTTTCTTCATGGTAAGTGTTGATCAGTCTTATCTCTATCTCTAGTTCATGTTCGAGTTCGCAGGTCTTTCTTCATGGTAAGTGTTGATCAGTCTTATCTCTATCTCTAGTTCATGTTCGAGTTCGCAGGTCTTTCTTCATGGTAAGTGTTGATCAGTCTTATCTCTATCTCTAGTTCATGTTCGAGTTCGCAGGTCTTTCTTCATGGTAAGTGTTGATCAGTCTTATCTCTATCTCTAGTTCATGTTCGAGTTCGCAGGTCTTTCTTCATGGTAAGTGTTGATCAGTCTTATCTCTATCTCTAGTTCATGTTCGAGTTCGCAGGTCTTTCTTCATGGTAAGTGTTGATCAGTCTTATCTCTATCTCTAGTTCATGTTCGAGTTCGCAGGTCTTTCTTCATGGTAAGTGTTGATCAGTCTTATCTCTATCTCTAGTTCATGTTCGAGTTCGCAGGTCTTTCTTCATGGTAAGTGTTGATCAGTCTTATCTCTATCTCTAGTTCATGTTCGAGTTCGCAGGTCTTTCTTCATGGTAAGTGTTGATCAGTCTTATCTCTATCTCTAGTTCATGTTCGAGTTCGCAGGTCTTTCTTCATGGTAAGTGTTGATCAGTCTTATCTCTATCTCTAGTTCATGTTCGAGTTCGCAGGTCTTTCTTCATTCGATTCGCAGATCAGTCTTATCTCTATCTCTAGTTCATGTTCGAGTTTGCTAGGTTTTATCTAGATCAGATCGATCGATTGAAGATCTATTGATCGATTGAACGTGATTTCGAAGTTCAACCTTCTTCAGCTCGGTGATTCAATCTCAGATTCGTTCAGCGAGGAAAGTGAGCACCATCATCTACCAAGGTGAGCACCATCGCTTCAGATTCGCTTGTTTTTTTTCCCTAAATTAGCATGTTGAATTTTCCTAGCATGTTGAATTTTAATCTCTGTTTTTTTATTACCCTAAATTAGCATCAGTTTGGATTGATCAATCAGTGTAGCTTAGATATTTAGGTAGAATATCTGGTTACATTATTATTATTATTATTTTGAATTCTAAAATATAGAACAGTTCATTATATCTTGGAATGGATTGTGATTTTGTATTCATCATATTGAGAAAAAATCTAGCTTAATTCAATTTCTTGCATAATTTTTTTTACAGACAGTAATAGATATTGATATTTGAACAATTTGTGTATCCTCTGCTTTGCTTCTTTACGTGTCTGATAGAAGAATGTAAATTGTAGTCTCTTTGTGAAGAGATTACCATAGCCGCCTTTATTCATAAGGATACAAATAAGTGTTGGTGCCAAAAATGATTAATAGTAATAAGAGTTGTGTTATCTTCCTCAAAATTCTCATCAATTCAATGTCTTCTTTGAAAAAAAAAGAAAAAAGAAAAAGTGCTTTCATTACTATTCATTTTTAATAAAGTTAATAAATGAACACTTTTGTTAATTGTTTCCGAATCTCCTTTACCCCATAGTTACTGGTGCGGTCTGGACATGGGAGCACAGGCAATGCCACAGGAACGCAAATGCCATCCTCATCCTCCAAATCAACACATCTGCAAATGCTACACTTTATGTGGCTTTCACCACCCACCTTCACCCTCACCCTCACCCTCACCCTCTTCCTTGACCGCTGAAATGAAACCATAATTGATGTTCAAAGAAACAAATTTAGTAAATTAATTACAATGCCTCTCAACAAAAAAGATTGGCAATTATTCAAGCTTATTTGTAGTTTTTATCACTTGGGTTTCTATTGTTTTTGGTGTTGTTTTCATGCTTGGTGTAGTCTTATGATGTGATCCATAGACCTGTCAGTGATATGGTTTCAGATCTATTCACTAGTTTTTGTCAATTTTGTTGGGCCGTGATCGATGAAGCTAGTTCTGTGAATTTATTCATAATTTTCTTTTGAACTGTGAATGCCATTTTGAATTATATGAATTGATTGTATTACTGTGAGTTTGCGTTGGAAATCGGAACTAAAAAAAAGTTTTTAAATTTGGGATTCTTCGTAAATTTTTTTCTTTCCATATATGATATTTGTGAAACCATATAATTGTGTGTTGATTTGTAAGTGTGTGGAGCGAAGTGGTCCAACTTGAGTTAGTGATTATCTGTATATTTATCGCTTCGAATTATGCATTTTGGGCTATGTACAAGTGTTTCTAATTAATAGATCATTAAAACATGTGATGCTTTTGAGAGTTTAGCCACTATGCTCACCACAACACAGCTAAGAATTTCATTGCATTTGTATCCTGGAAAAAGGGGTTGACTAAATTCTTTCATCATATATCAACTAGCTTTTGGAGTTTCTAGTGTCTGGGAGTTTCTAGTGAAACAGAAAATGGACAGGATGCTGTTTCTTTTTGGTTTAGATAATCTACAACAATAATTATAATGTTTTTTTATTTGGTATGGTTTCTCTCATTGCCTATTCGATTCTATTCTTTTTTTCTTTTTTTTTTTGAACATTTATGTTTAAACAGAGAATTATGCCTTTTACTGGTAAAGTAAAAAATGGGTTATGCATTAATAAGACTCACAAGTTTGATCCCAACATACTGTTTTTATCTTACTCTGGTCAAGCCGTAAAGCTTCTAATGCTGCTAATGCGAATAACTTGTCTGCACTTCTAATTTGATTTCCATAAATCTTCTTCTTGGGGACTGTTTACTTGTCTCAAGTTTGATATATTAATTTCAGAATTATGTGGTTCTAATATTGCAAAGTTACTTTTATTCTGTAGACTGTGATTTCTGCACTGCAATCTGTTTTACAAGAGGATTTCAATGCTACTGAGATTGAGGTATTGCCATTTTCTTAGCGACTTCCTGAGTACTTATTTTTCTTCGTAAGGTACTCTACAAGTCATTAACAAATTTACTTTTCTTGAACAATCTAATTTAGCCTAAATCATCTCACTGCGTGATATGTTCCACTTCAAAGGTCGTCACTTATTTTAATTACTATTTTATGATGTGTGCATTAGTGATTTTGTTTTATTTTCTATAGCCAAAGTTCTCTCTATGCTTGGCATCCTTCAGAAGGTTCTAAGCCTCATTTCGGCAGCCTCTGTGAGATAAATCTAAAGATATATGTCAAGTGTAAGACCAAACAGGTCCAAGTCCCCGCTGTATGTGATTGTCTTGCATTGCCATAAGTTTCTGACTTGCCAATTTGGATTTTTTTTAGCTTAATATAATGATGGATCAGATGCTAGATTTCTCATATTGCTGGCTTTACTTGTCTACCCATTAATTTGATGATTTGTCTGAACTCTAAGGCTTGTGGAAGAGGTTTGTATGCTGATAATGCATGCTTGATGTATGTTTGTAGCAGTGTACAATCAGTGGTCTTTGAGAATCCTTTTGTTTTTGGTTCAAGAGGTCCTTCCCAATTTCATGTGTCAATGTGTAGACTTATATCTAGCATAAGTTTTTTGTTTGAAGCTTAGTTGTTTAGAACTTCCTTTGTGCCTTGTGAATGTGATTGTCTTACAAGTTTATTGCGCCATCTTATGGCACCTTTATTATACTTGCATTTTACTTATCAAAACCAAACGAATAGATTCTTTGGTTTAGGTGAATACTAGTCCTGAACTTATTTGTATGCCAAAGGCTTCTCACGTGGCCTTAAATCCTCATGGTGCGTTAAAGTTTTGGCTTCATCCAGTTGATAAAAACAGGTTTTCGTGTGCAACTTGATTAGGGAGGCAAAAAGTCCTCTGACTTGTTGCTGACTGCTAATTCTGATGTCAGATTGCGATATGCACGTCTATTTTTTTTTAGCTGTTGTTGTGGAAATGCACCATTTCTTCGAGTGCCCCCCAACCCCACCTCCTCTAAGATAGATAATTATTTTTGTTGCCTTTCTTCCTTCATTAGTCTGTTTTCTTCCATAGATTTAATATGAATAATTGATCAAATATTTTCTGATCCTTATCATTTACAAATACTGGAAGGGCTTCTTAAATTGCCAGAAAACAGGGAGTGTGCTGACTGCAAAAGCAAGTATGTTATCTGGAAACTATCAAAATTGATATTGACACTAAAATTGTGAAGAAATAAATAACTTGATCTCAGTACATTATACCATAAAGTAGCTGCATGTTTTTCTTTTCCTTTTGTTAGGTAGGAAAATTTGAACTTGAGTCTCTTTGTGTGGGATTTGCGACCTAAGCTTCATGGGTGTCCCGCTGTGGACATCAAGTAGCTACATGTTATTAGTTAAAAATAATTTCTATATATTTCGAGTTGTTGTTAGTGACTAGTATTTCATGCAGGGGTCCTCGATGGGCTAGTGTGAATCTGGGCATCTTTGTATGCATGCAATGTTCTGGAATCCACAGAAGTCTTGGAGTGCACATATCAAAGGTGATACTTTATGCATTGGTAGTGCGCTTTAATATTGTGAAGTTTGTCTATTGGTCCCTTCAAAGTTCCACTGTTTATTTTTCTTAGCTTTAATGCCAAAAGAACCAGTAAGTAGAGAGTTTTTTACTTATTAAAAATAAAAAAGAAAAGCAGAGAAAGTTTTATGATAGATACTAGCAATAGGGAAATTACTATGTAATATTTTTCAACTTTCCAACTTGAAACCTGACCTATTACTTTCCAGCTTGAAACCTTACCTTTGGTGCTCTCTCTCTCTCTTCATTGGCTTCTTATTGGTCTTTCCATTATGGAAGGTCTCTTTGAGAAGGTGGTTGCCATGGGTTATGGGAAATAAACATTCATATCCCTGTGATAAGTTGCTTGTTTGTAAATGCTTAAATCTTCATAATCTACAGTTCAATAATGCAGAACCAAAAATTCATGAGCCCTTCAATTGTTCTGTCATAAATTGCTTTTGGGTTAATATTGAATCCTTGCTAGGTTTACCCTATCAGGTAAGAAGAAAATATTTTTTACTTCTGCACACAAATACGTGGTTAAGCAAATGCCAATTATTATTTGCATACTTATCAATGGGTTCTTTCTGGATTTTTGCAGGTGAGGTCTGCTACTCTGGACATATGGCTTCCCGAACAGGTTGCATTTATTCAATCTTGATTTGCTGTAATAGAGAGCAACAAAGGGGCATGGCAAAGTATTTTCACATATGTATGCCTGACTACTCTTCAGGGAGTGTAGTCCTCAATCCTCGTGCCACCAATCACGCATCTCAATGCATGATGGCCGGGGGAGTCGAATTGCATGACTCAATATGGAATGAATGCACATGAAAACACAGCAGGGCCTAGACTCCATCATGGATAATCCGGAGTGTCGGCGACCAGGAATTGAGACACGTTCCGTCACTCGGAGTATGAAACGTACCTCGTTTCCCGTGCTTGGGCTAATTCCTATCCCAAGCACAATGCAATATGCATGACATGCATGAATGCAACTAATATACAACCTAACATGCACAATGCTATGAAATGGCATACACAATGCATGATGTAACATGGCATACAAGATGCTCTAACATACAACCTAGCATACGCAATGCTATGAATTGAAATGGCATACACAATGCACAATGGACTTACACCAACATGAGTGGACCTCAGCCACACTCACATCGGTAGCCATGAGATGAAAAAAGAGACAACTCGAAATGCGTGCCCACGTGCACGCGAACCGAGGATCGACCCTAAGGCACCGAATGCCACTCTAACAAGACATTGCAAGGCATGGAATATGGCATACTAGCATGCAAATTTCAGTAGTAAAATATGATGCGAAACAGCCCCAGAACAGGGAAGCATGGCACCCGATACATGGAATGAGACCCGAAACATGAAATTAGGTACATGGAATGACCTATGGCTATGCAAAGCATGCATTATTTGAACATGAAGTGTGAAGACAGAATCAAGAAAGTCCCAAAACAAGCATATTTACAGTTTTAAGAAAGGCCAAACAATGGACACAAATAGGACTAAGCTAGCATGCAAAAATGGCCCCGTATGAGAGGTAATGAGGTGGCCCCGTATGAGAGGTAATGAGGCAAGTAGAAGCTTCTGGCCCTAAATGGCCAAGAGCCCTTCAACAAAGTTGAAGAGGGGCTTAAAATGAAGCACTTTACAGTTTTCAACAAGCCACAGATCTAAACACAAACAGGCCTAAAACATTGTGCAAGAAATGGGCCAAAAGGGAGACAAAGAAGCAAGTGATGGTTGCTGGCCTCAAACAGAGGAGGGCCCTTCAATAAAGTTGAAGAGAGGCCCCAAACATGGTGTTTTATAGTTAGTGACCAAACCCAAAACAGTGCACATGCAAGCTTAAAATACTATGCCAAATAAGGCCTAAAAAGAGGTTTAAACACAAAGAGCAAAAAGGGAACTTCAAAAAGCAAAGGTCCCTTGATCAAACATTAAGAGGGGGTCAAAATAAGGCTATTTATAGTTCGGACCAGAGCCCAAAAATACAAGCACAAGGGGCTAACAAAACATGCAAAAATAAGGCTAAAAGAGGGATAAAGAGGCAAGTGACAAAAGGAAGCCTTAAACAGTGAAGATCCCTTCAACAATGTTGAAGAAGGGATCAAAATAAGCCACTTTTCAGTTCATAACCAAACTCAAAACAGTTTACAGATAGGCCTAAAATACTATGCAAGAAAGAGGCATACAAGAGAGGTAAAGAAGCAAGTGGTAGCTATAGACTTTAAACATGGAAGGACCCTAAAACAAACATGAAAAAGACCTCAAAATAATGCTATTTTCAGTTAGGGTTGGAGCCCAAATATGCAAGCAAGTACGGCTAATATATTGAGCAAAATAAGGCAAGAAAGAGGGAGGAGAAGACTTACCCTTGAAGACCAAATCTTTGACAACTCTTGGACCAAGTTTGGTGGCTCCTTAGCTCTGGAAAACAGCTCCAAGTGGCTGGAATGGATGGTGGTGGTGTGGTGCTAGGTGGTGGTGTAGAAATGGTGTAGGGTTTGGGAGGTTTTGAGGGTTGGAGTGTAGAGAGAGAGAGAGATACAATGTAGGAGCTCCAAACCAAAATTTCTAACCCTTCAAAAGGGAGCTGGAGTGCCTGGATATATAGGCAAAAGAGGGGGGAAAAAGGGGGGGAATGGAATTCAAGTTTTCCCCCAAAAGCTGGCCCCCCCGGATACAAAATCTGGGGGAAAACAGAGGGCATTTTTGTAAAGTACCTGGAGAGAGGATCATGGCCGACCGGTTTCCTAGGGTTTAGGTGGCCGGTCGGCCTTCCCCATGGCCGTTCGGCCAAGGGTCAAAAGGTTCAATGAAGATTAATGGCCGGCCATGCCAAAAAGAGGGCCTCTCATGTGTGCACAACACAACCATGTGGTCAAAAACTGGAGAGAATGAACCAGGAGAGAGAAAAGGCCACTTTTAGGAGGGGTTCAAAAGGGTCAAACACAATTACTGGCCGGCCATGTGATATTGGTGGCCTCCCAGGTGTGTACAACACAAATATGTGGTTTAGGGCTGGAAAAAGTGGCCTTAGGGTGGTCAACATTGACTTTCAAGTGAGAAAAACGGGCGACGGAGGGCGATGGAGGAATAAAACTGGTTGTCAGAACAATTACTGGCCTCCCACCCTTCTACGACCTTCCTAACAATGAAACAGAGGCCCCTGCCAAAAATGAACTCAAACCAATGCAAAATGGAGGTTCGGGGGGCGAAACGCGCAGCCCGAGGCTCGAAAACTGACTGTTAGGCACCGGAAGTGGTGTTCGACCACGAAGTTGGTTTCTTGAGTCACAGTGTCCCTCAAAAGGGAGCAAATAAGATGCATGCCAAAAACCGGAGCAAATGGAGGTGGTTAAGCGGTCCCGAACCGAGGCACAC